GCTGTTTCTGTTCACTTCCACCACACAGGAGAGAGCTCTTCCCCTGATTCATACCCCCTCACATGTGCTTTCTTTTTGTCTACCGCAGTAGCTCTGAGCTTACCGTTTGAGAGCTTGCTCTTCTCATGCTGGGGGTGAACAGTAATAGCTAGAAATCTCTTAGCAATTCCCTAGTAACAAGGCAGAATGGGGTGATGACATCTCTGAAAGTTTTCCACTCAGGCTTTGGGAGGTACAAAAAAGGCTTACACCTATAGCAAGGGCATTATTCAACTTTAGTAAAAGCTGCACAATTTGTTTTTTATCAACAGACACCCCTTATCTGCATAGGCAGTGTTTTTGTAAAATGTGAACTCTGTCTTTAAAGTAAGAAAGTCATTCGAGGGGATTAATAAAACATGTTTTTTTCAGCTGCATATAATAGAGTGCCGATAGGATGGGTTGTTTTAGTTTACTGTCATTGTGCTGCCCATGGTAACTGCAGATATCCATGGTCCACTGTGTATATATGTGTTTGTATATGTAAATATAAGCTAGGAGAAGTGGTATCATTGTATCAGTACTTAATCCACGATACAACGTATTACTTGGTGCTCCACAGAATATTAATAATGTAGCAACAGGTATTGTAAGCACTCAAAGGGCTTTCACAGGTGAACAAGGAGGGCCATATAATAGCTCTATTGCACCAACATTACAGAGAGTCGCAACTCATCTTTCTATATATTTGTAGGTATGTGTGTGTATATGTATGTATATATATATATATATATATATATATATATATATGTGTATATATATATATATATATATATATATATATTTAAAGCTGCAGAACACTTTCTTGCAGCTCAAGGTAAGCTTCTAACTGTTGACTGGAAGATTTTGTCTTCTGAATATAATTACATTTCATGCAATAGCTAGTGTGGCTGGAACCTAGCCAAAAAGGATATTGGATTTATTTACTTCAGATATTTATTGAACTCTGAATTGGGTAGTGATAATTTTATTTCTACAGTATAAAAAATGAAATACATTTTGTACACTTGTTTGGCCAAACAAGCTCGCTAAATCAGCTCGATTCCGTATACTCACATTCAAGGTGGATGGGGAAATCTTCCCAACTGAGCTTTTGTATTCTGACTTCCCCACCATCAGAATACACTGATCAGCACTGCTGGCTGTAGCCTGAGACACTGATCAAACAGGGAAAACCCAACAGGGTGGCTGTACAGAAGATCGATTTCTGAACAACCAGCCTGTCCGCATATGGATTGAAATTCAGCTGGTTCCCGCTGAACTGGCTGAAATTGAAACCATGTATGGCCAGGTTTAAGCAAGTCTGAGAGCAGCAAGAGCAGATTTTTTTTTTTTCGGAACAAACTCAGGAAATGCTAAAATAGTTCACCCTGGCATTCATTGTCTACACATGGCTTCCCTACTACAGTTAATATTTCTAGTTGTCAAAATTCTTATCTTCTAAGTCAGCCTTTCTCAACTTTTTCAACATGGAGGAACCCTTGAAAAAACATTCCGGTCTCAGGGAACCCCTGCTAAAAGTTACTATATCTACAACTCATAATACATTAGTGTGATGGTCATTGTTCTCAGTGAAGAATGCCCCTTACACTTGTGGTCACTGGGAAGAATTACCCCCTTATAGATAGCTAAAAAGATCAATGTTGTCAATGAGAACTTATCAGAGAGGCAGAAACTGCTCATTGCTGAAGGAACATCTACACCCTGTTCCAAATTATTAAGCAAATTCTATTTATTGTCACAAAGATTAAATATTTTGTTTTTCAGTTTAACTCATCAATGGCATTGTGTCTCAGGGCTCTTTTGATCACTGAAAACAATCTCAGACACCTGTGATAATTAGATTGGCAGGTGAGCCCAATTTAAGGAAAAACTACTAAAGGAGGGTGTTCCACATTATTAAGCAGAGCACCATTTTCAAGCATTATGGGGAAGAAAAAGGATCTCTCTGCTGCCGAAAAGAGTGAAATAGTTCAATGCCTTGGACGAGGTATGAAAACATTAGATATTTCACGAAAACTTAAGCGTGATCATCGCACTATTAAGAGATTTGTGGCTGATTCAGAGCATGGATGGGTTTGTGCAGATAAAGGCACATTGAGAAAGATTTCTGCCAGATCCATGCATCGGATCAAAAGAGCAGCTACTAAAATACCATTACATAGCAGCAAACAGATATATGAAGCTGCTGGTGCCTCTGGAGTCCCATGGACATCAAGGTGTAGAGTCCTTCAGAGTCTTGCAACTGTGCATAAACCTTCTATTCGGCCACCACTAACCAATGCTCACAAGCAGAAACAGCTGCATTGGGCAGAAAAATACATGAAGACTACTTTTCAAACAGTCCTGTTCACTGATGAGTGCCGTGCAACCCTGGATGGTCCAGATGGATGGAGTAGTGGACGGCCACCCTCTTCCAACAAGGCTGCAACGTCAGCAAGGCGGTGGTGGAGTCATGTTTTGGGCCGGAATCATGGAACAGAGCTGATCGGCCCCTTTAGGGTCCCCGAAGGTGTAAAGATGACCTCTGCAAAGTATGTGGAGTTTATGACTGACCACTTTCTTCCCTGGTACAGAAGGAAGAACTATGCTTTCCGTAATAAAATCATCTTCATGCATGACAATGCACCATCTCATGCTGCAAAGAATACCTCTGCATCAATGGCTGCTATGGGGATAAAAAGGAGAGAATGTCATGGTGTGGCCTCCATCCTCCCCTGACCTCAATCTGATTGACAACCTTTGGAGCATCCTCAAGCAAAAGATCTATGAGGGTGAGAGGCAGTTTACATCCAAACAGCAGCTCTGGGAGGCTATTCTGACATCTTGCAAACAAATCAAGCAGAAACTGTCCAAAAGCTCACAAGTTCAATGGATGCAAGACTTGTGAAGCTGCTATCAAATAAGGGGTCCTATGTTAAAATGTAACGTGACCTGTTAAAATGTTTAAAAAGTTAAAATGTTGTTAAAAGTTTGATTGAAATAGCTTTTGATTTCAGTAAATATGCTGCAAACACAACAAATGACAATTTTCAGTTCTTTACAACCTATAAAATGTTTTAAAACTTACTGTGCGTAATAATTTGGAACAGTGCATTGTACGTTTTTTATGTTTAAAACAAATACTGTTATCATTAGGAGGTTTGTTCAATAAAATTTGAATTGCTCTCTTAATAGTTGATAACATGAGAAATATGCTGACTGTTATTTACATCAATTATTTAGGTAAATGAGAAAAATATAATTTGCATAATAATTTGGAACAGGGTGGTAGTAACCCCTGAAGGAACCTAAGTTGAGAAACCCTGTTCTAAGTAGTCCTGTATCTGAGTCTGCAACAAAAACTAGTCTATGTATTAACAGTTCAAGTGTCAACATTTTTTTCTAGATTGCAATATGAATTTTTCTTATTTCTCAGGTTGCTTTTTAAACCATTAGCCGCCCGGCCAATGGCCGTTTGGCGGCTTCAGATGTGCCTCTTAATTCCGGGTGCACGTCATTTGGCGTGCTCCCGCACATGCGCTGTTTGCGGTAATGCAGAGCGGCGCAGCAGCGGGATCTGTCACGGGCCGTGCACCTCGGACACGGCCGATGACAGATCCGAGTACCGGCTCCCGTTGCTGGTACCATGTGACCTGCTGTGACCAATCACAGCAGGTCACAGTTGTATACAATGGATGGCTTTCATTCATGATGCCATCCATTGTATACTAGTGCCTAGCTGTGAATGGTCACAGCTAATCACATGCACATGTCATGTGATTAGCTGTGACCAAATCACAGCTAAGCACAAAAAAGAAAAAAAAAAAAGCTGAATGAATCGATTTCATTCAGGTAAATGCTTGCTTATAGCAAAGTAATTCTTGGCTATAAGCAAATTGTGTAAAAAAAAAAAAAAAATACTGATCACTTCCCCAAAGTAGTACAGTGTTACTATGGTAACATTGTACTACTTTGGTCATAGTAAAATATGAAAAATTTTTAAAAAAAAAAATAAAAAAAAATGTAATAAAAAATTAAATATAAAAACAAAATTAAAAAAAATTAAAAAAAAAAATATATATATATATTTTTTTCATACTGTCACCAGTCAGTGTCCCTGTTAACCGCCATGCCAGTTATATGATGACGCTGTACTGCACTGGTGACAGTATGTAAAAAAAAAAATAGTGAAAATAATTTTTTTAATTTTTTTTCATTTTCCGAAAAATTATGACATAAAAATACAACTTCAAAAAACTCGCCATGCCTCTTATGAAGTACGTCGGACTGTCTACTCTGCAAAAAGGGGTCATTTGTGGGATATCTGTACTGTTCTGACATTCTTGGACCTCAAGAATTAGATTGGCTGTCAGTACTTCAGGATTGATCAATATTCAGATCTATACCATAGTTTGTGAACTCTATAACTTTCCTACAAACTAAAAAATACATCCTAATTTGGGTTATTTTCACCAAAGACATGTAGCAGAATACATCTCGGCCTAAATTTATGAAGAACAATTATTTATTTGTAAACTTTTATAACAGAAACAAAGAAAAATGTGTTTTTTTTTCAAAATTTTTGGTCTTTTTTTGTTAATTTAGCAAAAAAATAAAAACCCCAGCGTTGATTAAATACCACCAAAAGAAAGCTCTAGTTGTGTGAAGAAAATGATAACATTTTAGTTTGGGTACAGTGTTGTATGACCCGCAATTGTCATTCAAAGTGTGAGAGCGCTGAAACCTGAAAAATGGCCTGGGCAGGAAGGTGTAAAATTGCCCGGTATTGAAATGGTTAAACTGCTCACACAACAGGTATTTGAGCAAGATATATTATGAAGTTAGCATATAACCAAAATGTAAATGCAACAAACAAGTCCCTGTCGCATCTTTCTCTTCATTATTTTGTTCAGTGTGCCTTTCCTATGCAATGCTGGCGTGTTCAGGGTTTATAATTTCTCTGTATTTTGTTTCAACAGAGGGAAGACTGTTTTTGACACTTGCCCCCACATTTCTATACATGCTTATCACTGGTACCCGCAGCAAATCAATAGACATAGGTTTGATGGGAAGAGCGGAGATACAATCCAACTCCCTGAAAGACTGTTGACGGTTTTTCCAGAGAATGCTACTTCAGAAGGAAGCTGCAGATTTGTGCAGTTTATTGAGTACAGCAGCCAGCAGTGGTTCCTTACAGGAGGGGAAGAAAGTGCTTTAAATAACAAGGTAATTTAGAGCATTACATAAGAAAAGCGTGCTTTCCTTTCTCTGTGAAGCCTTCAAGCTTTAATCGCTGCTCCCCAGCAGAATCTAGCAATGCTTTGCTTGTTTATTTTTACTCTCAGGCGAGATTCATTGCGTTCTTCCTGGAATGGAGATACAATTAACTTTACCGGTTTCAGTAGAGTAATTGGTTACAAGTGATATTTATAGTGATGTGCTTAACTGTTTAAATGTAGTTGTTTGGATGAGCCTGTCTGTAATCACAGATGGGAAGATATTAAAAATTTGGATTTTTTTTTTTCTATGAAGAATTAGAGAACTCCACCCATGACTGAAAATTCAGTATTGTTGGCAACAGTAAAAACTGTCACATGCTTTTATTTATCCCAACTGTTCCTGTGACAGTATCTCTCATGCTGAACCATTGGCGGTACAGCCTTTCTGTTCAGAATCATGCCAGATATGGGGTCACTACTCCTCCTGATTTCTATAGAGATTCTAATGATTACATTAAAGGCAGGGTAGTGACTCCTGTGTCCCTCTAAAACTGCCTTTCTCAAATGTTTTACCCCAGAGCAACTATTGAAATAATTTTCAGGTCCTGCTTAAAATGGATCTTCACCCTTTAAATAAATATTCCTCCTCTCCAACCCTCCCCTGCTCCACTACACATAGATATCTTTTTTATCGAACATGCCCACATCCTCCCTTCTTGCCCAGACGAATGACGTGCCACTTGCTTGGTGCCTCCTGGAATATGTAGTCACATATCCCAGGAGGCATAGTCTTCCATTCATAAAAGCAAGAGGGGGATAGGCCTAGTGTTATGACATCACAGAAGATAATGGCAGGGTGAGACACAAGTGATGGCAGAAGAGAAGTGGATCTCAGCAGGTTGGGAGGGGGGGGGGGGGGTTGTGAATTGTGCACAACCCAGCATCAGGTAAGCAGGGACTAAACAAAAAAAAAATGGGGGGAGCTGAAATTCCTCATTAAGCCAATTAATTGGGCATGAGTGGGAAAAAATGCTCCTTGCATCGTCAGACAGTGAGAAGAATGCCTCAATACAGACTGCTAAAAAGATCATTGGTGTTATTTAGCTGGCTATTCCAAGTGATGTTGGCCCCATACCTAAGCAAGCACCATTAAATGGGAAGTCAGTCACAGCTCAAGGAAAACCTAGTAACTTCTGGAGGAACCCTGGTCAAGAACTTGGCAGAATAGCATGGGATCAGCAGAAGTAGATGAGAGCACGAACAGTTAATATAATTATTGTTGTAGTTTATTTTACTTTTAACTAAAATGTGGGAAACTCATTTAAATGGTTGGAAGTATATGGAAGATGCCACCCACTTTTGGACTTAGGTGGGTTCCAAAGTATGTGCTGTGTCACCTGACTTGAGAGTCAAAAAGCTACTTAGGTGAGAATGCTTCAATAGCTCTGTTTCTGTAGTGGATATTTTATCTAAAAATGTTTTTTTATCTAAAAAATTAAATCACTATTCTACGGTATAGCACTAACACTTCCTAAACGAAAATAAATAAGGGCTAGTTCACACCATGGAAACGCAGCCCAGATGCATTCTGGATGCATTTCTGCATGTGCTTTTTTGACCTGTTTTTGGTGTGTTCCGGTTCTTTTTTTCTCTCTCTTTTTCTTCAATTTAAATAGGGACACTTGTGTTCCAGTGCATTTTTGTTGCATTTTACTGTTCTACTTTTTTATGCAGCACACTGGAACTTCAAGCACTGATGTTAACTAAGACATTGACAACCAGAACTTACTTTCTGTGCATTTTGGATGCAGAAAAAAAGCACACTGAAATGCATGTAGTGTGAACTAGCCCTAAAAAAGCAATAGGAATATACTGTAAATTAAATCTCCTATGGTCAGTTCTAAAATCCCCACTGGCTGTGGTTGTATTCTGCCGCAGAAAGTCACCTTTTGGCATGTAACAAAATTTTTCTCTCAAGAGAATTTCCATAATGATCCAAACACTTTTCATAACCAAAAGTCAACCAAAAGTTGTAAGCCTACTGTGAAAATTATTGTTTTGTGCTTGGATCGATTGGGTGCGCCAAATGGAAATTACGGAAAGCACTTCCTCTCAACCAAAATGAAGCTGCAATTACTTTTTTGAGTGATTTTTGCTAGATAGACCGGAATTTTTAGATTCTATATCTCATTTTCATCCTTGATGCAGTGCTGATACATTAGGATTGAAATAGTGTTAAAAATGATTGATTTGCGTTTAAATACATTGTTATGTGCTTCATTTACAAAATATTGTAATGTTTAGTTATCAATACATGTATAGCTTGCATTAGAGGAACTCAAAACTAAAATAAGACACAATAACTAAACTAATAGTTGGAATCAACCAGAATGTACCGGTTTACATGTCATGATCTACAAATCTGTTTGGTCAGTTTTGGGATCTACACACCCCTGCTACACTGCCTTTGTCTATCTTTAGCATCTCTGGCAGTTGTGAGAGGTTCCTCTTACAGACCTCTAGTCACTATTCCTTGCAGTGAAATTGAGTTTGGCAGGAGGAACCAATGATAACTGTGGAGTACTAAGGAGATCAATACCCCCTGAAATATTGGTTCCCTAACAACTTCTGGGGGAGATTGGGGCATTGGCAGTGAGAAGGTGTGTATTTGCAGTCTACTCTTACAGGTGTATCTTTGCTGAACATTTGCATAGTGACATGTTAGTGGGTACAGTATGTTTTCTCCACTGTAGGTAGCTCTCAACTAGAGTGGTATTGCAGCTGGAGAGGAAGTCAGTAAAAACCTATGATTTCCTGGAGCAGCATTCTGGCCGGCTACACTGCTTTCAGGTGACCCTGGCAGCCATTTTGGGTCAAACATGTGTTGCCCCCATGTTTTGGCATGCTTTTTTGGCATGTGAAGTGGCTAGTGTAGGGAGAGCTCACCTGTCTGCCAGGGACATCACTAGTGGTAGGGAAAGGTTCCAGAGGAGTAAAGAAAGAGTAGGAACTATGCCTACACTTCTGCAAGCTCCCTCTGGGATTGGACTGGCCGCACTGCACTCCACCTCCCTTGACAAGCACTCTCTTTAGCTCGGGCCTACCACCACTGACTCTCTGCTGCATTGACATTGAGTTCGTGGATGGGCTTTTTACGCCACCAGGGTGTTGTATTTGTCTGTAAGTTGTTCAGTACGCCATTTACTGCACTTTGGGTGTCAGTTTGATTTTTGCTGCCGCACCACACAGCACCTTCTCCAGACATGGTCACTCTAACTGGACATTGTTTACAAAAAAAAAAGAAAAACCAAACAAATGCCATGATTATTGTTAAAATATACAGTTGTGCTCAAAATAATAGCAGTGTGTTGAAAAAAGTGAATAAAGCTCAAAATCCTTCTAATAGCTTTTATTTCCATACACACAAATGCATTGGGAACACTACACATTCTATTCCAAATCAAAACATAAAGAAAAATATATCAAATTTGTGTTGTTCCTCTAAAAAAATTGAAGAAAAAGTGAATATTAGACTGTTCAAAAAAATAGCAGTGTTTGTATTCTTCTTTACAAACTCAAACATTCACTATATAAACTGAAAAATGTTTGAAGATTTTGCTTTCCTTTGAATCACTTAATTAATATTTAGTTGTATAAGCACTGTTTCTGAGAACTGCTGTACATCTGTGTTGCATGGAGTCAACCAACTTCTGGCACCTGTGAACAGGTATTCCAGTCCAGGATGAATGGACTACATTCCACAGTTCTTCTCTATTTCTTGGTTTTGCCTCAGAAACTTCATTTTTTATGTCACCCCACAAGTTTTCTATTGGATTAAGATCAGTTGATTGGGCTGGCCACTCCATAACGTCAATCTTGTTGGTCTGGAACCAAGATGTTGCACATTTGGAACACCTATTTCAAGGGCATTTCCTCTTCAGCATAAGGCAGCATGACCTCTTCAAGTATTCTGATGTATTCAAACTGATCCATGATCCCTGGTATGCGATAAATAGGCCCAACACTGTAGTATGAGAAACATCCCCATATCACGATGCTTGCGCAACCATGCTTCACTGTCTTCACAGTGTACTGTGACTTGAATTCAGTGTTTGGGGGTCATCTGACAAACTGTCTCCAGCCACTAGACCCAAAAAGAACAATCTTGCTTTCATCAGTCCACAAAATGTTGCGCCATTTCTCTTTAGGCCAGTCAATGTGCTCTTTGGCAAATTGTAACCTCTTCAGCACGTCTTTTTTTCAACAGTGGGACTTTGCGGGGGCTTCTTGCAGATAGCTTGGCTTCACATATGCATCTTCTAATTGTAACAGTACTCACAGGTAACTTTAGACTTTCTTTGATCTTCCTGGAGCTGATTGTTGGCTGAGTCCTTGCCATTTCGGCTATTCTTCTATCCATTCGAATGGTAGTTTTTTGCTTTCTTCCACGTCTTTCAGGTTTTGGTTGCCATTTTAAAGCATTTGCGATCATTTTAGCTGAGCAGCCTATCATTTTCTGCACTTCTTTATATGTTTCCCTTCTCCAATCAACTTTTTAATCAAGGTACGCTGTTCTTCTGAACAATGTCTGGAACGACCCATTTTCCTCAGAATTTCAGAGAGAAATGCACTGTAACCAGCATGTACAACATTTGCTGCCTTCCTTCCTTAAATAAGGGCAATAATTGCCACCTGTTTTTCAAAGAATGAATGACCTCACTAATAGAACTCCACACTGCTATTATTTTGAACATCCCCCTTTTAATTAGTGATTCAATTACACAGAATCAGCAGCATGCATGTCATGACTGCTGGGTCTGTTGGATTTCTATTACTCTACTACACCTGCTAGTAAATTATTTGCCATGTAGAAATATCATTTCTACCAAAAACAGTGATTGATCAGGTTAGTGATGTCTGACTGCTATTATTTTGAACACAACTGTATATGAAATATGTGGCTTACAATGAACAAGGATATTTCTGTGTAATTTATATGAATTTGAATTTAGTGTTAATTTTGAATAGCATTTTATATTGTCTGTCATTCATTTGATTCTAGATTTTATCAGTGAGCATGAAAGGTAACATCTCCTACCAATTGGCTGAAGACAATGAGGTAGTGTATAGGATTAAGGCAGCTGGAGGCCGCATTGTACCAGACACGTCACAATGTCTTTTGTGGAATCAGGCATCAGAAAGGTACCAGATATGAATAATTGGGTTCTTTGTTCCTGTTCCACTTCCTGTGAATAGTTTATCTCAGGTTACAGATTTGTGGAAACATCAAGTTAAATAGAAATTCACATATCAGAGCTATATACTGTATTTGGCAAGCACAACGAAAATAAGGAAGTAATCTTCATGCTATATTTGTGAACTGTTATTGTAATCTTGGTTAACAAATCTTTAGCCAGACAGGAGATACCTTATTGCCTAGATTCATTTTTAAGCAGTGTCATTTTGCCCCCTCTAGCCTGCTCATTGGACAGTCTGTCAGCATCATCACCTGTGTCCAATGAGCAGGGTGGTGATCCCAGAAACTGTAAAGATGTACCAGAGCAGGAGTCTCCAAACATTTCAAACAAAGGGCCAGTTTAATGTCCTTCACACTTTAGGGGGGCCGGATTGAGGTCAGTGGGGGTAGAAAATGTCCCATGCCAAACATTAGTGAGAACAAACATGGCCCCAGGGCTGGTGGTCAGTAGGAGGAGGACTAGTGCCACATCAATGGTATCAGTGGAAGAAATAGTGTCCCATAATTGGCGTCAGTGGGAGGATTAGTGCCCGATGATTGGAGTTAGTGGGATGAATAGTGCCCGATGATTGGAGTTAGTTGAAGGAATAGTGCCCCATCATTGATACTAGTCGAAGGAATAGTGCCCCATCATAGGTGTCAGGAATAATGCCCCACTGTTGGTGTCAGTTGGAGGAATAGTGCCTGATATCACTCGGAGGAATAGTGCCCCAAGGGCCAGATAAAGGCTAGCAAAGGACCACATCTGGTCCTCGGGCCGCAGTTTGGAGACCACTGAACTAGAGAATAGCAGAGTGATCATTCTTGCTACGCCTTGTAGCGTAGATGTATAAATTACAAGACTTTCTTAGCAGAATTTCTAATCTTTAAGTAGGCAAACAGGTTATATATATATACTCCAAAGACATGCTGGTAGGTTAATTGGATCCTGTCTAAATTGGCCCTAGTATGTGTATGTATAAATGTAAGTTAGGGACTTTAGATTGTACACCCCTTGAGGTTTAGGGACTGATGTGAATGTTCAATATATATGTGTAAAGCACTGCGTAAATTGACAGCGCTATATAAGTACCTGAAATAAATAAATATATATATATATATATATTAGAACTGTGGATTTAAAGCTGGCCATTGATTACTCGTATTTTGCTGATCAGCCAGCAGGCTAAACAAAAAAAAGTGAACAGGTGCCTCCATCCACACAAACAAGGTGGATAGAGAAATCCTTTGTATTCTAACAGTGTGACAATCCATTGTGAGAATAGAGCAACTGCAGCTGATTGAAAAAAAATTCCAGCAAGCCTGTTCAACAAAAATTGATCTAATTATCAGTCATTGCTGAAACAGCCAAATTTCTATGGCCAGCATCAGTGGTTGCCCAATGTGCAGAAATCCTCTCAAAGGACTTTACATTTAAACCACTTTATGCTGGAATAATGTAATTAAACTAATGTAATTCTGTATAGTAAATGCCCTAAGGTGTCAGAGCATACCTGTACGTGTTAATGTTAACCTTTGTAAAGAGTCACAAGGCCTCCAGAAGATCCTCCAAAATGCTAAAGTTCTGAAAGTTCACATTTACATAAACATAGATATGGCCCACAAGACTTTGTTTGGAAATTGGATTTTCAGGAACTGTCAACTGCTATGTTGCGGAGGGGAGCTTACACTTTCTTTACCCCAGATGTGGAGATTATTCAGAGGCTCTAGCCAGGCTTAGAAAAGGACCGCAACACCATTTCAGGTATCCTCTGCCTTTGCTTTGCTGACTTTTGTGCTAGTAGTGTCCCTATCAGGAGCGGACTGACCATTTGGAAACTCAGGCACTGCCCGAGGGCCCGGAGTCAGTAGGGGGCCCCATGAGATGCCCCTGGTACCTTTTCATAGGCTTTTTTGAGTTTGGGCAAGGACAAAGGGGCCCCATGATCCCCTATTGCCCGGGGGCCCCATGAGTTGTCAGTCTGCCCCTGGTCCCTATACATACATTGAGATGATATATATTGCATGTTGAATGCCTCTAATTTTCATCCTGGCATTCACCTTGCACAGAGCTGCCCTACCAGCTAAGTCCATATGTTTGCATATCTTTCTGTGAAATTACTTCTCTTTCGTCCACTACAAATGTACAAGGAGGCCCAGTACGTTTCCACATCCATGTCCCAGTTATTGACCAGTAATTTATTTCAGTTTTGTGGTCAACTTTCCATTCCTGTGTTTTACATTCACAATAAGTTTGCTGAGACATAGCTATTCCTTAGCAGCTAGTGTGAACCAAAATAGTCTATACCTTCCAGCTATGCAAACTCAGTGACACGCTCAATGAGCATGAGGCCTTTCAGCAGGGTCTTCATCCCTTCATGTCACTGTCGTCAATTGGTCACTATTTGTGTACTGCTAGAAATGTGTTAAGTTCATTGGGTCCAAAAAGCTTAAGGTATATTTTGATCATGGTCTAGGCTTCTTCATTGTACTTGGAATGAAGTTTCAGGGAACTGTACAGAGTGGTGCACATATTTAGCACTCTTGTTTACAGGTGTTAATTGCTTTCTAGAATTTGTGTTAATGTTTTTCTTAGTAATAGCAGTCATTTTGTTGAAATGTGAAAGCAATTCTCTGTATTTTGTTTTTGTAGATGGCTGCCAAATGGTCCCTTGTGCAGAGTGGTGTCAGACACAACAGAGTATGTGGAGTGTGCCTGCTCTCACATGTCCTCCTATGCTGTGTTTGCTCACATGGACAACCTTTCATCCTACAATGAAGCCTTTTTTTTTGCTGGATTTATTTGCATTTCTGGTTAGTGGTTTTCATTGAAAATGTATAGTGCTTACCTGTAAAATTTGTGTTACATTATGGCACACGTAAATTCTTTTTGCACATGTTAAATTATGCATTTTTTGCTAGAAATTACTGTAAACACCCCCAAAAATATTTATTTTTCAGAAAACATGGACCCTGGAGAATAAAATGGTGGTAGCTGCATTTTTTTAATGTGGAATGACATTCGTGCAGTTATTAATCAAATGCAAATTTTCAGGACAAACATGCACTAAAATGAATTTTAGTGCAAACAAACACAATATTGTACCGAATTTTTGTAAATTATATAACATGGGGTTGTGTAGAATAAATAGATACCAGACATGCCAAGTCTTAAAATTCCACATGCCTATGAAATCGTGAAAAAACTATGGTACCCACAATTACAGGTCATCAGTTTAGAGTTAACCACCAATTATGGTCAGAATTATTGCTCTCACTCCAACATTCGTAAAGATACCTCATGAACGTCAGCCTACAAAGTAATCAGGTGGCTGTAGAGCCGCCTGATCATTTTTATCTCCAAGCCCTTTGATGGCTCTTAAAGCCGGTACCAAGGTCACACGAGCAGCAACAGCTATGAGTTTGATTTAACCACTTGTCTACCATGCCATTTATAAACGTACCTTAGTAAACAAGTGGTTAAGCTAGGTACGCACTATGCAAACTTTGACAGATTCCATGGAAATTTGCTAACTGAAAAATTGAAGGAGCCATGTATAAAATTGACAGCCAGCCATCTGATTGGATACAGCTGCAGTTCAACTATTCTGACAATAGTCTCAGCAGGAGATTCCTCCATTCAGGCTGTATAATGTGGATGGAGAAATCTGGCAGATTAATCTTGAAGAGCTTGCAGATTAAACAAAATTATTGTATGTTTGTATTCCCAGCATTAGTCTACAGAGGGGTTGGATGCAGGAGAGGATTTAGGGCCCATGCTGAACCAATGTGAGTCAGTGGCCAGAAACAAGCAAAATATACATCATGCATCAATATCATTGGGAAGCAATGAACCACAGCTGTAAGAGGCATAGTTACACATCAGTTTATCCTGGTACATGTGTTTTACATTACAGTGATTGTTTAAAAATCAGTGAAGGCTTCTTGTAGGAGTTCTAGAAAGTTAAAATGTTCATGAAACATTCCTTGTCTTTACTGATTGTGACTAATGGTGCCGTCAGTCTATATAACATGTATTGTTATTATCGCTAATCTATAAAATGTCACAACTTGTGTATGTTTTATTGTTCTTGGCAGGGTTTACGCTAGCCATCCTCTCCCAGTTATTCTGTACTAGGACCTTTATGTTTGCAGCTAAGCTCCTAACACATATGATGGTGGCCTGTTTAGGAACTCAGGTAAGACACATAAATCCATTATTATCAGTTTCTGTGGTTTATTGACATTTTTCTATAATTGCAAAAAACATATACTGTATATCTCACGCAAATATCAAAGTGCTGGTTGAAGTATCTATCAACCAGGGGACTAAAGTTATGGGTAACCAAATGTGTAAAAAGTTTTTTCTTTTTTCTTTTCTGACTTTTTTTGAAATACTACAAAGTAGTTGAAGCCAATCATGTTCAGATGGCACATCAGTTTTACATTAAAAAAAAGTGACATATAGGTTTGGGCACATCACTTGCAGGCACCAAAAACATTTACTCCCCAAAAAATAAAGAAGTGATAAAAAAACTATGAAAAAATTATTACATTCAAACACATGTTATCCCCATTAAAGTTGAGCTCCAGGAGTTATCTGTATTGCATACTTACATTGGTCCAGCTTGGTTGAGCTGCTGGGGAAGCTGAAAATCACTGTAGAAGTCAGTGCTACCACAATGAAAGCTGCATTCTTACAAGGTGTGGAGGAACTAAACAACTTCTGCTAATAATTGTATTCTAATTTGTTTAATTCGTGTAGTTTAGTTTCTCTGTTCCTTGTAGCCCCCCAGTGCTTCTGTACAAAAGTGCTGTGTATCACACAGTGTTTAGGCTTGACAAAGGGGGTGTAGCCCTGAAACTCGCTGCCGCTCTGCTCACATGCACTGCTTGTCTCACGCAAGTCTGCAGAGCAGCTGCCAAAGCTGCTCTTAACAGTTCTTTTAGCAGGTAAGTACCGGTGCTTGTAACTGACATCTTGGCTGGGATAGGGAGATCCCGGTGTCTTTTCATCTTGGCTCTGTGGATGGCTCTGAAGCTAAATGCTTATCCACATGTAAGTGTAATATTATTGTTGTTTGTAATAAATTTCTCAAGTATTAACACTCTCCCTGCACCCTTGTTTGTTTCTACCTTGCTTCAGGAGGGTCTGGTGTAAATGTTGAAGTGGGATCCCACAAAAAACAAGAAAAAATGTTATGTGATTCTCCCTAGCAATACATATCAGACCCTTAAGGTGGCCATAGATAAATCTACCTATAGCGCAATAGTGCAGCTGGGAGGATTCCCTCATCTACCTCAAATGTGTGGATGGGAAAATCGGTTCAGTTTTTGCATTCAGCCTGCTGGCTGAACAAAAACAAAAGATGTAACCATATATGGTCAGCTTAATAATTGATGAGGGTTTTGCATGAACTTTATGGGAACCACAAGCAAAAAACAAGAAAACAAAGTGTAGGGCACCCCCCCCCCATTTAATATCTATACCAGACCCTTTTTGGTGCATGAAGCCTGGCAGGCCAGGAAATGGAATGGATGAGCATGTGTCCCTCCTTGAACTATACAAGGCCACATGCCCTCAACATGTAACACCCTTTTAGTTTGGCTGTTTGCTGAACTTCCAAACTGGTGGCTCATCCCTACTTCCCACCCATTCTGTGGCTGGACAATGAAAAACAGCAGCAGATTGAAAGCTTATCCCTGTCACTCTGCTTTCTTCTGTTATCAGCATGTTTCTTGCACTGCAGCACAACTGATTGACCTCTTGTGCTGCTTCTCTCTGCCTTTTCTCTGAGCTCTGCTATACAGTAGCCTGGAAGAGGCTGATACCAAGTCAAATTCAGCTATTAACAGTTCTTACATTTTAAAAATACATTTAGTATTAATGTTTACAGAGCTGATTTAATGCTTGTCTTCATATCTGCTTGGAGTTCAGCTTTAAGATGAATCTAACATCTAATTTTACCTTGCTGATATCAGCACTTATGTTTTTCTTCATCCAAAATCCACTCCCAACTCATGCGGAAAACGGCAAAAAAAAAATGTTTTTAAAAGTAATGATACAAGAATAAGATGAAAGAATTGGTAAACCGTGTCAGAAGACTCAGTTCTGTGATATTAGCAAGTATGCCAAGTGTTGGTTTATTGGTTAAGTTTTCTAACAGACAGAGCAGTGGTTTGATGTGGCCAGACAGTTAAGTTGAGTGTATACTTTTATCACTTATGTAAGCTAGGTTCAAGTGGCAGAGTTTTCACACTTTGCATTGAAATGCTGAGCACTCACAAAGCGTTATCACTCCATTAATACCCCATTAGCAATTTGCAACATTAAACTTCAGGGGTGGTTACTATCTTTATTTGAGGTGGTTGGACTTTGCAATAGAAAGAATATCATGCCAGGCCTCTATGGACATACTGTATACTGATGTGTCTATGGACATACTGTACAGAACTGTGCTGGAAGAATGAAAAAAAAAGAAGATAATTATCACAAAGCTGTAAACAGAAGAAGAGAACTAGAACAAAATGTAAAACATCTTATTATAACTTCTGCCTTGGAAAGTTAATGTGGTGGCAATCACAATACTTTGTTAGGCCTACTTAGGCAATTAAATCTTTTCTCATTAACAGTGCATTGATTTTGGTTTCCTGTAGATCATATGACTGCCAACAAGTGGTTAAATCCACTCATGTGATTTACTTTACTGCAGTTTACTGATTCTTCACCTGTTCATTGATGCTGGCATACTGCCATTTATGTTGCCTTTTTGACAATATGCCTACTTTATTTACAATCTACTAGCTTGGTTTTTATTTTTGATATGTTAGTAGGTGTGGTAGCACACTAATGCCTAAGCAAACATAAGTCTTTGCAGCATGCTGAGATATATTGTATCCAGGTGTGTCAGAGGGGACAATGCAGAGTCATGGCAGAGAACAGAGGACCCATCATACTAAGCATATTTATTTCTTTGTGATAGCAAATCCTATTCCAGTTCTTATCATACAATGCATATTTTTACTTGTGATAGCCAATCCCATCCATTTCATGTTCAACTTATAAAAGGAACACTGGACTGGCAGCTATCGACAACATACTTGAAGATGTGTTATTGTATAATAATAATATTAATAATAAATGACCATTGATTTATTCCTCTGTGTATGGTAAGTATGTACTGTACACATGAAAAAAGATATTAAAAATCTGGATGTGTAAGTGAAGTTCAGGTCAGTGCTGCCTCCAGCAGTGAATTATGAAGCTGCATGCTGTTTTTAGAGCTATACTCTGCTGAACTGCTAAATCCTTGTCAGAAGAAGAAGGATGAGTTATTTATTATTTTAATTCATTTTCAGAATGTTCATTGATGGCCCAGGTTATTGTCCTTCACAAGGCTGCCAAGTTACTGCTCAGAGAAACTGTCAACAAAGCCTCTTTCCTTGTTCACATTACTCCTCTGCATAGCAGGGTATGTCTATCTCTGGTATTCCCAGGATGTTATGTGAGCTCTGAGGTCAATGCAAAAGCCTTGCAGCTTAGTGAATTCCAAACTATAACTCATCCAACAGCTGAATGGATCATCAGTTTGCCACTTGGACATTCTGCCATTTTTTAACCTTAACTTAAAAATGGAACAGTTTATATAATATTTATGGATTTTATTGTTTTGCTGTAGTTATGCATCAGAATATACCAAAAATACATTGATGGCTTAGAACCTCACTAATTGCATATGATAGAAGTAATTTCCTTTCTAAGGTATCAATGGTTTTGTTAGCAAGAATGAGCCCACAATAAAAAAGGAATCAGCAGAACATGAACCTTTACTGAGTGAATATGTAACCCTTTATCTGCCACAGCCTTCTTTCTTATTTTCTTTTTTATACACATGCTAAGTCGCACATTGTTTTTGCAAGACAAAAGCACTTAAAACCCCAAAACATACAATTTCTGAAAGCAGAAAACCCATAGATTAAAATGAGTTGCATTTTTTATATCACGATATACTGTATTAGTGCAACCGATTATCAGATGTAAATTTTAAGTAAAACATACGCTCAAATTTGCACACAAACATTCATCTCCAAATTTTCTTCAAAAATATAAAAGATGAGACTGTGTTAAGTAAATAGATGGCAAATATGAAGCCACATAATTGCGACAAACTATGCTACCAAAAAAGCTCATGAAATTGTAGTTATCCATAAATAATATCCTTAGAATTATTCCTATTACGCACATGTGTTCGCCTTAAGGTCACATTTGAGTGTGTGTATACGTGTATATATATATATATATATATATATATATATATATATATATATATAAATAGAGAGAGGGAGAAAAAATATATTTTTTACTTAAATTTATTGCTAGAAGAAGGAACCATCTATGTAACAGCATTTGCGGAGTGACAGCTCCTCTTTTTTAGAGGTTAACTTTTCCAATTAACTCGTTGGGTGCCATATCTGGGTCACATAATAGGGCTGCCCCTGGGGTGGGTTCTTCTGGGCCACGCTAGGCCCCTGTAACAGGTTCATGCACATGGGGTACCTCTACTTGTGTGGATTCTTTTCATACCCAGGGACAAGGCTCAGGCCACCATCATGGAATACTCGACCTTAAGGCAGGCCTTCCACTTAGAGATGGCTGTACACTGTGTACACTTGAGTAATATCTGTCCTCCAGTTAACTCTCAGGTTCCCGTGTCAATGTACATTTTCACTGTAATTTGTAACAATTAGGAGAGACACGGCCAGCACATGCTCACTACATCTGTCCAGAGTATCTCCACTACCTCACTTCCAGTAGTGGAATGGAATCCCGCCATGCACCTAGCGCAAGCTCCATGCATGTTCTTCTGTACAGGCTGGGGCCCTTGTCAGTTCTGATCCGCTCACGTTGCTATGAGAGACAGACCGCTATGGAAGGCTGTTGGTTTCCATTACCCCTTACAACCATGTGCTGTCTTCATACCCCAATATGCTATTGACCCAAGCGGGAGACTGTGTGCTGCTAGCTTCTTTCATTACAGGCAACAGGCAAACTTTTAACATTTTACTTATGTAGCATTGCCCCTTTAGGAGTTCATAAAGTTTTGGGTCCCCCCCTATAGTCCTGCACAGCCAGGCAACACGCATTTCCACCTAGACTTTCATTCAGGAGTTAGTAACCAGTCCTTGAGCTTGTTTTGAAGTTTTATTAGGGGATTTCAAACTTGCATGGGGTAAGGGGTGTATGGGATGCCCAATGGAACTGAGAAACCAGGACAATATTTCTGAACGTACCAGCAACGATCTGACAGCTTTGAGCCTGGAAGTGCCCAGAGCTAAGCTCTTCAGGGGTTATTGCTGCTAGGGGAGATCTAGACACAGATAAACAGTATGTAACTTTGATGTGCATTCTATTGATGCTTGCCATCTCAAGGTAAACAAAGCTAGCTATACAAACGTTGCCTCAAATTTGATATGTCAGATATGTACAGGCAGCTGTGTAATATGAAGAAGGCCACTCTGGTTACAATTGGAGAGTGCAGTCTTTACACCATCTCCAGTAAATCTGCCAACCATCTACCAACACCTATATCTATATAACGTGCAGACTTATCTAAACAGTTTCATTAACTGCATTTAATTTATATCCGAATGGATAGGCCCTCACACTGCATAGTTATTGGTACATCTAAAGAAGATTGTGCAATTATATGGTAAAATGAATGGTCATCTCCACACTACAACAGTTTGCAATAGGCTTATTATATCTTCCCAGTCTAGACATGGTGACTTGCCTGAAGCATAGGAACTGCATTTTTAAGTGACTTACCTATCCTTATGCCTGTGTCTCCAGCTTTTGCTCTGTTACAGAACTATGAAAGTCAAAGATTCTTAAGCATCCAACACACTTTCAGAAGTGTCAGATGTTAGGTCTTCTGCTATGCAATGTAGTTCCTTCCTTTGGCATCCTAAATGCAGCACCCTGCCTGTTGCTGCTGCATTGGTCCTGATCATCTTCATCTCTTTATCAGGACTTTATCCCTTGGTCATACCGCAACAGTGTTGCTCCTTTTTCTCAGCTTACTTTCAGTGGGGCTGAGGCTGCAAGGGATGATGACTATAGGGTGCAGCTTGGTGTTAACAAGGGTCACCAGGAAAAGCAGAGGACAGATGGGAAGAATATGCGTGGATGTGTGGGAGGTGCTTTTAGAGTTGTTATAGGTAGGGGGCAAGGTAACACTGGAAACACTGTAGTAGAGGCTACAACTAGAAATACAGCCACATGTTGAAAGAGGTTTTAGTCAGAATGAGATGTTAGGACTTTATTCATGCAGACATTACCATTTTATGTATGATGGTTGAAGAAAAATACTCTTTGTATAGATCAACATGTGTGATCAATGACTCTGTATATTTAGTATATAAAAGAGCTCCATTATAAGTATAATAATCAGCAATTAATGGTAGACGTTCTACAGACAATTTTTAAAACCACAGCATCCCACCAGGAGAAATAATTTTTATTTGAGGTTTTTATTTTGCTGTCTGTCCTGTTGGCACCAGTAGGATTCCTCTGAAACACATTCAGGGAGAGAATGGTAATTTCATCACTAATTCTCAGATGGCACCTTTTTCTGGTTCCCACTCCTCAGCCATTTAAGTGCTCATGATACAAATCTATATTAATAGCATCACAGTATTATATGCAGTTCTGAGAAGACTACGAAAACAAGAACTGTCCACCACACAGAGAGGGGAAGTAAAATGTAAACAGTGTTGTGAGAAACTAGTAGAAGGGGAAACAATCCAGCCCTGCAATCCATCAGTTTTATCAGATATCCAATCCTTTCAGTTTATATGTAGCTGCCAAGTTCCTAAAAGTATACTGTGCATCTCCTCGGGGGCTCCTTATTCACTTTATCCATTACGTCAACAATACCCTCCAATGGCTATGTTTGTCCAAGTTCCTTTTGTAATGGGCATCACCATGCATTATATAACTATTGTTTTAAACACAGGAAATGTGTTTAATAAGTTTATATTTATATGGTTTGTAAAGGTCATGTATTTCGTCGAGCACTGCTAACAATACGTGGAAATATAGAATGTTATCATATGATTTCCTTTGACGTGTGTTGTCATTGGCCACCCTAATGCCTAAACCCCAGGACATACAGATCATTGTAATAGTATTCTTTCTGGGCATTAATGTTACAAATGGCCATTGGCTGGGATTATATGTTGAGTAGGGATACCTTTTAGTAATACAAATGTGCAAGCAAAAGACAAGTCCTTGCCAAACCTCTTGTCATACTTTCAAAATTTCAGATACAGAAAAAGAAAAGACAAATCATTTGAAGTACAATCCAATCAACATTGAAAAGATAACCTTGAGCCTATCTAATAGAACTCACCTGCTGTTGATGCAGTAACAACCTCTATGCTACCTTACAATCCTTAAAACCCAACTCCTGGCACAATAAGTTTACTGGACTTAAATTAAACACTCTATTTCCTCTAAAGCCACCTGCCATAAAGTACATTTTCTTTTCACCCCAAAAATGTATTTGTTTACAAGTGGGTAGAAGTGCAGCTTCTACAGTAATTTTGGGCTGCTCCAGCTGTCAAGATCAGCAGGGTTTTCTTTTGCACCTTTGAAACAGATATAACAAAGTACATGTTTAATAGACCAAAAGTTAACAAAAATTAAAGTTGAACTCCAGGAACTTGCCATTGGTGGCATATTTGTCCAAAGAGATGCATACCACCTTGTGGACCTGTCTTTTTAATTTAAATGTGATAGTTTTAAGGAGCTCGAGGAGTACAGCTTTTGTCACACTCTGAGGCTCTTGCTGGACAGATGTTGTCTTCTAACACATAGCATATTGGCCTTCTTCCCCCCCCTTCCACAAAGCACTCTGTGACTGAGCAGGAGGGATGGGCACAGGGGCTGCATGGGACTCTGCAACTGCAGAGGCTGAGACCAGAAGGTCCAGCATCGGAGTGCTGGTAATATAGTGATAGCCATATTTCCAGCACTCAGTAAAAATGTAAGTTGTTAATTAAAGAGATAAATCCAGGAAGTGGCATGCACCTTGTTGTACGTAGCAAATAGTAATCCAGCACATTTTGCAAAGTGGTAGAATTCCTGCAGTTCAGCTTTAAATGTTAGGCTTTACATACC